AGAGGGATATCTTACGGATCACCAGAGCCATTGTTCCAGGTAATTTGCAGGCCTGACGGCGTTAGGTCTGGAGTTCCGAGAACGAGCGCTTGCGTAAGGGAGGCCAGATTTAAAATGGCTCCAAGCAACATCAGGCCTGATAGTGTGGAAGGGGAATATGCCCGAGAGGTGGACGGGGTCAGGGTTGTGTGAGCTGTCAAAGGTAGAGTAGGATATGAAGAATAAAGGTGGTGGCGTCGGAATATCGATAGAATAGAAATTCGGGTATTTGGGCGAGTGGCGCTAGGTCGTGATAATGAACGTTTGGTAAGCGAGAAGTGAATGTGATGCGAACATAGGTTTAGGCCGCCGAGATACGATCTGTGAGGTGATGAAGAGCACGGATGAACACGAATAAACACGAGATTCATCAGGAAAAAGCCAAATGCTCTAGAGTACCGGTGGTGACTCTCATGGTATTTGGTGGTCTATAAGAGTCTATTGACTTGCGTGCCCACTTTGTGTGTCTATCGTGGTCTATACTTGTCTCTGGAGGTCGAAGGTTCATTCTGAGTGTTGTCTGAGTGTCTATATAGGACGGTCTCTGAAATGCAAATTAATAGTACGGGCAAATTGGTGAATGCATACAATGGCAATCTGAGTCTCAAGTCTCGCAGGCCAATCTCGGAAACTTTTGAAAGCTGCGGGCTGAGTCGGAGTTACTCGGACCGGTTAACTCATGCCATCACTGCCCGTTGGTATGACATTGACATTCAAAGTCCGCCATCACGACGCGCGGCCTTGGAAGTTTCTCCTTCGCTCTCCCATCTCCCTTTCCCCGCCTTCGTAATCTAGACTCTGAAGTGTCTCAAGCCACGTTCCAGCATCAACAACGCAAGATTCAAAACCTGATACTGCAAGCCTCGTGGTCAAATGCCACCATTGCCGCCTCGTTCCGCGTACACCAACCTGCAGGCGTCGTTTCAAGCCTCCATACCTTCCAGCTTCAAGCCTCAAGCTCAAGCTTCAAGCGTCAAAATTCAAAGCTTCAAGCCTACAAGCCTCAAGCCCTGAGCAAACCACAACCCTCTTGCCCACCCACGTTCTTGTCTTCAAGCACCAAAACCTTGTTTGACGTCAAGCCGCAAGATTCATGTTCGTCGGATTGTCCTACACACGCGGCACAGATTACTTTTACTTAGCCTTTTGTCCTCGTCACTCAATATATTATTGTTATTGTTATTGCACTTCCTATGGCCGTCTTGGGTGTCTCTGAGTTCTCTTATGACTATAGCTTTTATTGGTGCTATGGTGTTGCTGGTGGTGTCTATGATGGTCTATGAGAGTGGACCCACCCCCTCCCCCCCACCTCTCATAGACATGGGTTTACTATGCCATCTATTTTGTCTACGGTGGTCTCTCATAGACCACAGAGCAACTTCGGTTTTTCCTGATGTTTGGCACTCGGGCCACACGAGAGCACGGGGGAGGAAGGTAAGAAGTGAAAATTGATTGTGGGTTCGTGTTTGTTAGGTACAAATAAATGATTGGCGGAAGGCCAGCAAGTAATGCGATAAGTCGGAAACTAAATAAAAATCAATTTTCCACACTTCGGCCCTATTGCCCTTCCACAATAGCCACCAGATAATGGCGAGACTTTTCCGATTGGCTTGGCCAATCGGCGTGCCCCTATATCGGAGTTTGAATTTGGCTTTGATGGCTTGTTTGGCGTGGGCAAATTGGCTTGTTTGGCGGGCGTGGCTTGTGCTCAAATACAGCCAACCCTTACACTGTAGTAGATACATTTCTTAAGACACTGGGATTAATGCAAAGTCGTCTACTACCACCGGCGTGTCATCTGAACTCCACGGGCACCGTCACGTGTGAGTTTGAACCCATATCAATATTGACGACCCAAACTGATATTTCAACTGCTAGTGTGTCTTCCCGATGCACAATCTGATGATGCAAGCAGAATAAGCCTGCCAGTGTTTATATCATCAAGCTGAGTGACTTCAACACACACATTTATGGAAGCAAGCAAATTTATGAATGTACCGACTTATCCACTTTTTCTCAGTGAAGTCGCCGACTGATGACTTTGACCTTAAATGTACAATGTGCAGAAACAATCCAGAACATAAATGACAACTCAGACTGGTCGGTAAAATTCCTTCGTGAGCGGGAGACTTGCTTTATCTTGAGAATCAAGCCCCACGCACCAGTTTCTGGCCAGGAAAATGCTGTATTCAGGTCATTCACAACAACATCATTCGATGCTGTTTATGTGCTGAAAGACAGGCGACACCACTGAGAGAAGTCAGGCGGAGGATCCGGATACGTACCTGACTTCATAAATGATGAGTGTGGCGTCGCGAGGTCGGACACGACGCTGAGAGCAGCGGACAGAAGAATTTCTCTCGTGTGGCCCAGCATCACGATGACTGTTCGGTATTTGAAGACTGAAACATTACCAGCTACTTATTTAATAGATGGTATGAGTCCCGCTAGCTAATTGGCTTGGCGCACGCCGGTCGATGCCCAGCATGCCCCCATTCACATATGGCAGAATTTATATGTTGTCTCCGATGTTCCCTCTTTCTGACCTGTAAGTTCACCTGACAGCATATTAACTCCACGTCAGATCCACCGCACCATAAAGCCCACGGCCGTAATCCCAGCTTGTCCGGCACAAATAAATCATTCTGAAGCCCTTATACATACATATTGCAATAACCTATGGCAATTTGAACTTGATTATCGCGCAAGCCAACCAAAAGCCGATTCGCACACTGGAAAACGATGTGCACACAAGCATGTAGTTCAATCAAATCGCCCTGATGACGCCGCAGATGCTAGGATTCATCGACCCTTTTTTGCCGCTGGCAAAGAATCCTATTCACCCCTTCGGCTTACTGAAAATTAATCCACGCCAATTTCTGTCCAGGGACCTTGAATGTCGCCATCGATATCTTAGGTGTTCCTAAATGTCTGAATTGAATGTGGCAGACACTTATTCACGGCTTGCCTTACTCCAGAGACGCACGGGTGAACTAAGCCAGTTAAACTTCAATCCTCATCCAAGCCATTTTCTTTTTCAGTGTCGAGCTGGTTCCGCGCCCTCAACCCACGGGACTTTTGAAAAGAAATTGAGAAACATTTCGAAAATAATCAACGACATTCTTCCTTTTTCACAGGTGTATTAACTAGTCGACCAGAACCGCGTTTCGAGTCCTGGCTGCCAGTAGTACCTACAAGGGAGGCATATAATCAAGAACGCAATTCTTCCCAACCAATGCTCTTTTGAAATGCTCCAAATATTTTCAGTGAGGTTGCAAAGAAGTTGCAGAGAATCGCCACTTATGATGTGTGGGTACTGGGAAAGACAACCACCATTTCTTTTTTGTCTGTTTGAATTTGTGCCTATGCCCAACGCGTTCTTCTCATGTACGGAAACAAAGAACTAGTTGTGCACAGTGAAGTAGTACATTCGGAGCTCACTAGATCCATTGTGACAATGTCCGCTCCGGCATGTAGTACATAGCATCTTCTCTCATGAGTCCATTACTAAAACATTCTTAAATCTGAAAGCAGGCTGGTGTATGCGATTGTGATTCGGTCATACAAAAGAATCGGCGAGAACTGCGCAATACAAACACATTACTTATGTATTCCCACATTTTTTACGGCGTGGCGGGCTCCTAGGCGGCGCAACCCAATTGCGCATACCGATCAAAGCCCACGCCAACTTCACTGCGGCTTGTCCCATGGATATTAATTCCTGTGGTCATTTATTTTTGTTGACTGCAAGTGCCTGTACCATAGTGACACATTCGGGGGACTGGACATTCTACAAATTGAACCATTGCAGAGTTCAAGTCATGCGTTCGTAGAGCCATTGGTGGAAGGTTCGCAGTGGAAAAAAGTCATTGATTCGAGAATAGCTGAGGCCTTGGCATATTGAAACTATTAAATCACCCTAGAGGTAGTCATGGAGCCGCCTAGTAGTGCGCAGACACTTGTTTATTTACAGCTAGTTATGTACTGACTGAGCTTGTTGTTGGCGGGCCACGCCAACGAATTGGCGTGGGTTTTGACGGCCGTGAGCAGGTCGGCTTGTGCCACCAAAAGCTCATGCCCACGCCCAAAACCCAGTTTTCGCGCCGCACACGCCGTTTTTTGCATGTCCGGAAATTAACCAGTCACCAAAGTGACTCTAGTTCCTCGATGTCGCAAGAAAGTATTCATAGATGCACCTCCCATACAATTTAAGCGTATGGTAGCTCTTTAACCCACCAAAATCTTGAATTTGACGTTGGTGGCAAACTGGCGTGGGCTTTGATGCCATCAGGACAAAATGGCTTGCGCACTGCGGAGTTTAAATTGAGCTTGAAATCAACACTAAGTACTCTTGAGTGGCAAGCAGAGAAGTTCCAGCAGCATGAAGCATGCCAATACATCCCACTGGATTACTTCTGATGGGACCTCAAAGTATATTTAAATATCTCACGGAACGGAGTGGCATGGTGCCAATTACAGCTCGTGTGACGACACTTTTCGCCATAGCCCGCACAATTCGTGTGCTTTCGCCTCCCCCAAGCGTGGTAATCCTCTGGAGTATTTCTACTTCTCATTGCACAAGACAAGCCAGAGATTTGGAGATTCTGAGCTGTCGGCTTGTCACTTCGGGGACAAATGTGCACATCAACACCGAATTAGTGCTTCCAACCGGCCCATCTTTCGGCAGCAGGAGTCTATGAAGCTTTGAAGAGTCCTCCTATGGGTATAACTTCATGTAGATCTTTGATTTCAGTGTCTTGTCGAAATTAATATCGGCGTGCCAAGCCGGCAAATCGGCGTGGGCTTTGATGGGCGTGAGCAAATCGGCTTGTCCCACCAGACGCCCACGCCCACGCCAAAAATGCCAATTGGCGCGGGGCGCACGTCGTTTTTGCACGCCAAAAAGTGAAGTCTCATCAACCCACTGGCCAAAAAAAAAAAAGGCACAGGAAACTCTGAAGCGCCCTGGGGAGGATTCGAACCTCCGACTCCCACTGTCCACATCATATTGACACTGACAAGATGGGGGGGTGATTTCCATTAATCAACCAGGGCTTTATACTCTTCTAACGAGCCTGGATATACCTGCAAGGGAGCCAGCAACAGATTTACTACATCCAGTGGAATTAAATAATCCTGAATTTTGCTACAAGGGTCCGCCTGATCAGCAGAAGGTTATTCAAATCAAGCACTGGGTGACTTCCCGTAAGCTTATTATATACCAAAAGATTATTTTCGCAATTTCCGCCGTGATGCCGAGGCACCTGTCAGGACCCCATCACCTTAACGGGGCGAAATCTATTCTGCCTTCACTCGAATATATTCAGATCTAGAAGAGGGGTCCCCCCCCCTCGAATAGATTATTTGTGGTCGAGGCTATCCTTTTGGGACGGAAGTGATTGATGGTCACTCCTGTCACCCACTCTCCAGCTCCCTCAGGCTCCCTCAGTCTGCGCTTAACACACATTTGAGTCAATACATCAGCCTCGACTGCATTGGTAGCCGTCCTTGAGCTGCATTTTCGCACTTTTTGGCCGTAGACACACCTCAAATGAATATTTTACAGCGGGTTCTGGTGTCTGCTAACCATCGGGAGAGCGCCTTTTCCTCTCGAACATCTCCCCTCCCTTAATATACAAGAAAAAACCCGGGCATTCAACAGCATTCAACTCCCTACTGAAGAAAGAGATTTGTCACACTCTGCTCTGCTAAACATATTCTGTTGCTTGTGGGAAACACACACAGCATGAATAAACACGATTATTTTAGCCATCAATCCCATCATTGGGTGACTTTCCATAAGCATATTTTATTCTGGGGAATATCCGAGCTTCTTTGAGAGTGCCAGTGATGGCATCAATCGATTTAATCGCCGTTTTATTATGGGAAACCCCTCAGATGAATTTATTTAGTCCAAGCTTTTTTACTTTTCGCTCCGAATTCGATTAGGATTGACAGCTGTTTGAAGCTCAGGTTTGTGCCAAATAACGCGTCAACAAACACGCTCTTCCTTGCATACTCCTCGTACAATTCAACAAGTATGGATCTTGACACCTGATACTGCTTCAACACAATGAAGAGAACGAAACACAATGAGTACGGACACAATTTTGTGGTTTTTATGGTACAGAGGTTTGGACTCATCAGGTCAAGTAGACTTTTATTGAGAGGGAGACTGCCATAATGGATAGCAACATAGAGCAGGAATATATAAATCGTTGCCAGAGAGTAAGCCGGAAGGGAGCTATCCTGCCCTGGCGCAGGGTCCGGCGGGCTGAGATATGTCGTGGCAGCCGATGATGCGACGAGATGTGACACGAATCCCAATTGGGAACGATGATGGGAGTAGCCGCCGGATTCGTTATATTCTCATAAATGTTGAGGATATGAAAGTCTGTACAGGGGGTAGGTACCCCCTCTTCAGATTTCTATAGATTTGAATAGATCTGCATTAAATCGTGTACGTTTTTGGCACATCAAATTGATGGGGTCCTGACTGCTGACTCATCGTGGCGGAAATGGCTCAGATATTCCCTCAGAATATTTTATGCTTATGGAAAGTCACCCATTGGCACCCCGAAAAATGGCGCCAGAATATTTTAAGCTTACGGGAAGTCACCCACTGTCCAAGTGTATAATACAGACAGTGATGTACAGCAGGATCGTGAATACCAATGAGACTTTGAAAAAAAAAAAACTATCTAATGCTGCGCGCATGCCCTTGGAAGGATTCAAACCTCCGTCGCCCACATCAATCCGTCCTAGCATCTTCCCTTAAGGGGTGTGGGTGATTTGCCATTAATCAACCAGGGCTTTATACCATTCCAAGGAGCCTGTATACACCAGCACCTGTTTTCAATTGCCAGAAGGCTGTTCCTCTGAATAAATTTCTCCTGTGTATTAAAATTCGAGAATTATTTCGGGAGGATGTATTACCGAAGTCCTGCTCATGCTACAACTCCTTTGAATTCAATCCGAAGCTTTAGAAAAAGTAAGACCTCTACCTCTTCCCATGCCCCGGGGAGGATTCGAACCTCCGTCTCCCACATTAATATTGCTCAAGCAGCATTGTTTCCCATGGTCTGTGGGGGATTTCCATTAATCAACCAGGGGCTCATACCTCTCAAATAGAACTGGATATACCTGCACAATTTTTGGGCATTCGAAAGACAGGTTTTACATTCGCAGACTGGAAGCGAGCAGGTTGCTACTGCATCGCATAGTCAAAGGGCTTTCTGAACGGGACGAACTTCAACAAGCATTTCATCCGCCCAAAAGCATAATGCAGATAAAACATACATGCAGTAGAATCAATCAAGCTTTGTAAAAAGAGAGATTGATCGACGCATGCCCTGAGGGGGATTCGAACCTCCGTCTCCCACATCAATCCGTCGTAGTTGTCGGGTCTTAAGGGATGTGGGTGATTTGCCATTAATCAACCAGGGCTTTATACCCTTCCAACGAACCTGGATATACCAGCACATTTTCCAACCCGTTCCACAGAATGAATTCCTTCAATCAAGCGTAACAGTGCTTGAAAATAACAGTAAATCGGCGCAGATCTGTTTACATAGCATACCCAGTAATACATCCTCCTCCTCCTCTTCTAGATGAAAGCAGAGCAGTACTGGTATCTCGAACCTACTTCAAACCAAAAAAAAAAGTGGTGATGCTTTATCATGCCCCGGAGAGGATTCGAACTTCCGTCTCCCATATCATTCTTTTTAGAAAACTCTTTTTCAAGGGGTGTGGGTGATTTCCATTAATCGACCAGGACTCTTTACCATTACAACGAACCTGCATAGATTCAGTCTCCCATGGCCAGGTCCTGACAGATATTCGATGAACAGTCCACACATTTCCAACCCGTTTACGAGTACTTATGTTTACATATGTTATCGTTTCTTTCAAATCTCAGGGCACCCAAAATTGATCACTTTTTTACTAGTTTCTGATTTCGTTGAGGGACCCCTTTAGTGGCTGTGTGTAGTCTTTATCCTATTTCTATTAGTTGAAAACATATGAAAAATAGCGGCTGTGCCTTTGTTCGTATTTGGTTAATTGTTCGTATTTACATACTCGGGGAAAAATACCCCCTACTCGGTGAAAAATCATCACTTGTGCAAACAATGGCAAAAAAATTTTTTGTAGTCACCGTCATCCTTCGGCAATCTCCCTCCCCCTTTCGGACTGAAAACCATAAAAACAGGACGGGCGTCGGGATCCTCCGACGAACTTGTGACGAACCGTGTCTAACTACAATGGAGCGGAACTTTTTTTGTATGGCATATTTATGCCGCTTTCAATATCGTATAACGGCATATGATATACTTAGAATGTGGTTGCAATATTTATCGCGGGAAATGGGGGCGCGGGGCATAGTGTTTGGCCTTGATTGGCAGCAGAGGCTGCGTTTTGTTTGGTTCCGTTCATGTAAGTACACAATGATCACTCCTGACTTTCCGCCATAACGTGGCAACCCAAAACGGGAAATTTGATGGCGGCCAGGCGGCAGCATTCGATGACGGCAGGTCGGCAACTTGCCCTAGTGCGTGGCTGACATATTTGTGTCTATGATATCTCTCCCTCTCACCACCACGTTGACTGCCTCGCTCTCACCATAAACCACACCCAGCCTCAATTATTCCATTGCACTCTATGCAGCCGCCATCTTTGTCTCTAGATCGCAAACACCGAAGACGGGAAGAAGGCCCAGATCGAGGCATATCTCACGGAGCGCTCCCTCCGTGCACCACCCCCTGCGTCGAACGCATGTGGCCCTGTGCTCAATGTTCCGTCCCGCCATCCCCGATGCGAGGCCCCGTGAAGCTCCCGCCAAGGGTTGTCCGGGCAAAATCTCAAATCCGGCCCTAAAAAAGCTTGTCCTGGGGCGGATTTTGGGCCTAAAAAAACTTATATCGGACAGGGGTCATCACGTGTTCTTTTAAAAAAATCGCTCCCCAGCGCGGCGCCTAACCCGAGCTGATGATAAGCAGTTACATTAAATAGCTTTAGCATTAATCTTGAGTGTTAATTTTATCTCCTTCGACACGTCGCCGCCCCATCTAGTCAAGGTTGTCCAGCATTTTGCAGTGTAGGGCTTCAGAGTCCGATGTATCAATCCTTTTTTGGCCCGCTCAAATGCATTGGGGCCAATATTGAAGAGAAGATGTTCCACTCTTGTGTGGGTATAAAGCTGAGTCGTCTTTGCATAGCAGGAGAACAAAGGATCTTCTGCGTCATCTTCATCCTCATCATCTGATTGGGGGCCTTATTACCAAAAAAAAAAGGAATTGGACGAGTGGCATTGTATTTCCTAAGAAGGGATTGAATACGTTAATGATGGAAGCGCGAAACCCAACCGACGCCGCTGGCAGTGGTGGCATGCATCGTGAGAGGTAAGAGAGAAGAACGAAATGCCGGAAATGCCGAGGTCGGCATTTCGCGATGGATCAATTCAAGATTAAGACTAATATCAGTACAAGATTGGGTCAAATGTCTTGTGAAATTTGGATGAAACGGTTGGAAGATGGCCTGAAAAAGCTTATGTTTGGACAAGGATTTCCAAAATTTTCGCCCTGAAAAAGCTTATGTTCCGGACAACCCTTGGCAGGAGCTTCACGGGGCCTCCAATGCGCCTCCCGCCCACAGCACCGCCTGCCCCGCCTCCTGTGTCACCGACCCGCCTCGCAACAGCTCCCGCCCCCTAACCGCCCGCCAACTCTCTTACACACTCACACCCCCAACATGCTCCCTCCTGCCCGTTACTAGCTGAACCCCCTTCTAATAAATATGCTAGAAGTACGTATGTTCACCCTAAATGATCCTATTACTTTTTATATAATCTGGCTACCCCAATACAGATTAGATGACACTTTGCAGCCCAAATCTACCTACGCCCTACACTCCCAATTCCATCAACAATTGGGGTGTGACGCTGCCTTGAACATGTCCTTCCAGGGAATTTCTTGGGAAAATAGCAATACACTACACCACCATGTTTGAGCCGATCCCGCATACTGCTATCAAATGCGCATTTATTTTACGGCACTCATTTGTTTATGGCCCGGTTTTGGAGTATATGAACAATAGCCAATGGTGAATTGTTCCACACCTGCACTGGATTCAACACTATCCCTGCACAATCTGTCTTCAAATATTGTTGACGGTCCAGTGGTTTGTTATTTGATTTCACTGCTTCGTTCTACTGACTCTCGTATCGCATCAACGAGCGCTCCCTAATCTTCCACACCTATGCACTGGCCCGCTCCGCCCTGCGCCGCTGCACTGAGCATCCCGCATCGCCATGCGCCTCCCGCCCACTGCAGCGCATCAACAAGTCGGCCCGCTGCGCTGCGCCTCCCGCCCACCGCAGCGCATCAACTTTGAGAAACCCTGGGACGGGATGCCGAAGGCGATGCGAGGCCATTCTTCTTCTGATATTATTTTATTCTTATGCCTAATCTTATCATTTGGTACTTGGAACATATAACAAAAAAAAAAAGTAAGTACGAGTTGCATGCCGGGCAACGCCACGGCCCTTTACCCCAAGTCCACAGCATGGATTCCTTGCATCAGCGATACCAGTGCTTAAAGACGACATTAAATCGGCGCAGATCTGTTTACAACCTACATCGCTAGTGTTTCAAAGCTAAATCCAACTCGTAGAAATAAGAGAGAGAGAGAGAAAAGACAGAGTAGCCGAAATCCACTCTTTATGCCCTGGGAAGGATTCGAACCTCCGTCTCCTACATAAGACCTACTTCATTTACATTCTAAGGAAGGTAGGTGATTTCCATTAATCAACCAGGGCTTTCTACCCTTTCAAATGGACCGGTACCTGTGCTGAACACAACAGTAAATCTGTTTACAAGCTATGTAGCTACTGTCTCGAAGCTAAATCAAACTTTGTAAAAAAAAGTATTTCATTATCCCACAAGCCCTAAGGAGGATTTGAACCTCCGTCTCCCACATCAATCCAGCCTAGATTCTTGGCTTAATGGGTGTGGGTGATTTTCCATTAATCAACCAGGGCTTTACACCGTTTCAACGAACCTGTATACACCGGCACCTGTTTATCAATTGCCAGAAGGCTGTTTCACTGCATGAATTCCTTCGATCAATGTTAAGAGTGTTTAAAGCAACAGTGAATCGGCCAAAGGGTATTCACCGTTAAAATTTTCCACACAGGGTTGGAAAAGTGCGTTAAGGCCCTCGAGACCCTACCTATTAGCCGAGCACAGCTACATCCAAAAATCGGGTAATTTGCCGAGCCGAGCCTCCCGACCCGAAACAACCCGATTTTTTTTTTTTTTTTTCAAGTGTCCAAACGCATTTTCGAAGCATTTGGAAAGTTTGTCAGAGAAGTGAAATAAGGTCCCAGACCCTACCTACTTATGAGGCTGTGTCTCGGCATCTTCCGGTGGATACTTCTTGGAATCGGCGCGGATCTGTCTGCACAGCCAGATGAAAGCAGAGCAGTACTGGTATCTCGAAGTTAAATCAAACAGTATGAATTTTTTTCTTCAATATCCGACCATGCCCTGGGGAGGATTCGAACCTCCGCCTCCCACATTAATAATGCCAACTGGCGGACCTTCCATGGTCTGTGGGTGATTTCCATTTATCAACCAGGGCTTTTTCACTTTGTATCGAACCTGGATAAACCAGCGCCTTCAAGGGAGCTGCAAGTCTGTGGAATTAGTCCTAAAATTTCCTACATAGGTCCGGCTGCCTTTCTGAAAGGAACAAAATGCACATGCACATGCACTGGCAAGTATCCTGAATCCGAATTATCGGACTTCGGAAAAAAAAGAAACAAAAAGGGAGGACCATAATACCCCGTATGCCCTAAGGAGGATTCGAACCTCCGACTCCCGCATCAATCCACTCCAGCAAGCGTGTTCAAGGGGTATGGGTGATTCCCATTAATCAACCAGGGCTTCATACCTTATCAAATGGACTTGGACATACGAGCACATTTTTCCAAGGTCACCCGCCCGAATATAAATGTTTTGCATCCGCAGACTGCAAGCGAACACAGTTGAAAGCAAGAGCGACAATAAATTCACTGGGGAATATATCGGTTCAAGTTTATGAGCACATAAATATCCCGGATCTAAACTAAACGGAAAAAAAATGTAAGACTGATCCCATACAATGCCCCAGGGAGGATTCGAACCTCCGTCTCCCACATCAATTGGCTCTCCTCCTTAAGGGCGGTGGGTGATTTACCATTAATCAGCCAGGGCTTTGTACCCCTTCCAACGAACCTGGACAGACCTGCACATTCTTCCCCGGAGCTTCAGGACATTTGCAAAATTTGGGGAGCGCAGGATTTCTTTGCAGAGTGTAAAAATATTTGAACACCGCAAGGATCTGTCCAAATACCTGCAGTTTTTTTGAATTTCACAAGTGCAACTCTATATCATCAACCAACTGCAAGCGTCAACGTCAGAAGTTAGTCAGTACCATCTCTTCACTTCTTACGATTTCGGCAGCTCGTCAAATCTGGTCCGATTCTTCAATCCAGAATCGTGAGGCTAGCAGGAATAAACATCAGTGTCGAACACGGTGAGGACGGGGGAGGAACATTCACCTGGTTCAACTTCCCCTCGTCTGCGTTTATCAATAAAGAGCTCGGCATGCGCGCCCAGTGTCTAGTCCTGGATGACATGATTTATGCTGGCTTCGGTGAACATCATCACGAAGCGTGGATCAGCGTCGATTGGCTGGTGCGCCTGCATTCTGTTCCAGGAACTCCAGAACCAGATCTTGCTGATCAAAACATGAAGCCTGGGGCAGCTCCGGAGAAGGTCGAAAAAAAAACGGCGGAGGTCGGGCGCCGTGCATGCCCAGGTGTGTAAGGGCGGGGAATTGAGCAAATTGGAAATTGAGGGGTTGTCCTTCAGTCCCTGCGAGCATGTCGAGATGTGTGAGCGTCCGGAACAGAGGGCGACTAGGATCGATGGCGTCAAGAGTGGTACTATTGATGAACGATGAGTGCTGCAATCCCAGCGGCATTGCTTCAAAGGCAGTGACCATCGATGGATCTTCACTGCGTAATGCGAACCTTTCGACATGGCCACAAAGTGGAAGAACGGGTAAGAGATCGCTGTAAGAATCCCATAGAAGTAGGTGCTGGATATGTCTCAATTAAGCGGGTTGTAGATGAAGAAGATCGGCAGGATCCAGCCGCTGGGCAGCGATTCTACTTAGAACAAGAGTGGTTCGGCCCACAACAAGAGTACGGTACAAAAGAGGCTCGATCCTGGATGCAGAATATAAATTATAAGGTTTCTTGCCGATAAAATAATCGCATACCACCGAAGGACGCGCTGAGCAACGAGCAGGAGAGTGGGCATCGTTTCGGGGTGATGGGTCGCCGCAATCTCGAATATTTCCCGCCCGAGCTCAGGCGGAATCGATGGGCATGTGTAAGACATGGCCAAAGGGTGTGAGGCAGATTGTATCTCTGTTCAAAGGGAAATTCAGCCCTGAAATAGCTTGAGTGCGAGTTTGCTGTGAGACAGGAGACGAAAGTGGGTGTGTCAGCAACTGATGGCATCATCCCTTTTCTTCCCATAACCACCACGCCTTATCCAACCTACAGCGATACGTGGGATCCAATTAGTCCTCATACCATGGACTCTGAGATTTCTCCATCGCTCTCTTTTGATCTTGAGCGAGAAATATTCGAAATGGTTGCAAACCATTATCCGGAAACGATCCCCGCGCTCCTTCTCGTCGCGCAGCGCGTCCTTCAATGGTAGTGGTTTACTTCCACACCGACAAACCACCTCTTCTAAACCCTTACTCAGGATCGAGCCTATGTTGTACGCACCCTTGTTTTCATAGACGAGAATCCCCGCAGGATCCCGTTTTCTGTCCGGAATCCGCCAAATTGGCAAAATATGTGCAGAACATGCTCATATGGGCCGCTCCCCGTCGTGTCGATTTCGCGCTGCGCGTTCTTTCTTCTTGCAGTGGCATCCGGAACCTCATGCTGTTCAGGCCCATCTCACAATGCTCCCTGCACTCGAGAAGATGCAACTACGGCAGTTGACCGTCGACCTTCAAGGACTTTTTGGTATTACGGCGATCGATCCAGCCCGTCCCCTCTTCCGCGCACTCACTCATCTTCGTCTCCTCAACATCCCTCCAGAACTAAATTTCGACGAACTCCCTGCCCTAACACATCTCTGTCTATCCGATTACTCTAGCCTGGGCCTCATTTCTTCCACCCTGGAAAATTGCAGCAGACTCTGCGTGCTGGTCGCCACGTTCCCGAGTCGGCCGCCGGAGCTATACGTTAAAATACACTTGCCGATCGATGACCCGCGGTTCGTTGTGATGTCGCTTTCCTTCGAGGAGTGCATGGAGTATTGGAAGTTCGGCGCAAAAGGAGGGAGGGACTTTTGGGACCACGCAGAGAACTTTGTTGCGAGAAGGCGACGCGGCGAAATCGAACCACGCATGTCCTGCAACACACGCCGACACACGCCGCTTACTGTCCTTGCCTCCTTTTTAGCCTCACGCTGCTGGCTTGGAGACTTGGACTTGATCAACTGAGATCACTCGGTTTCCTTTTTTGGACTCATTGCACTTTGGGAGACCCGCCCACGAGATATGTATGTTCGTCATACAGAAGCCATTCACGCAAATATCGAATTCTACCAATTGCTGAAAGTGGTACTTCCGCAGCGTCAGCCCTGAATCTGAACTACACTGAGAGTAACCGCTCCCGACGCAGTCAAAAGCGGATGATTGTGGATTGACCTTGCCTCATGACTAGCCTAATTTCCTACAGCTTTGACTACCAAAGGAGAGCAGGTACAGGCCGGTATGAGATTCTTCCTGGGCCATTGTACGGATGTGATAATCATATCCCATTGATAGTCAACGGAAGAATACTCGGAGCATAGTGCAAACCAAGAATCTGGAATACTATACATACAGAAGCTCGACCAAGTTTCAAAAGTCAACAACAACTTCTGGATGAATGTGTAAGGAGCCTGAAATGAACTGACAATGCTGCATTTCAAGCTGGGTTTAAATTATAACTCTCGGTTCCAGCATGAGAGTGAGAAGTGTGAGGGGAATCATTAAAGAGCAACAGCGCACTGGCCAAGATTAAATTCATCTTGACAATCCCAATTCTTGTCATCGGTCAAAAGATCCTCGCAGTCTGTCTACGGTTGGGGAGTCCAGGGAATGCGGGATTTATGTCAGACGCGGCGATCCGCATAGTGATATCGTACAGAGATGCATTTCAAAGCTATGTTTGGGGCTGTGCTTCAACTGTGCTTATCAGAATGCAGATTTGGCGGATCAGGCAGGTTGACGGCGATTGAGGACGCAGACAGGGAAAAAATGGGGACAAGCCCTATAGACTAAAAAAAAACCGCACAAATACAATTGAACGCAACCTCGCTGATTTAACACGGCCGAACCCGCACTCTCAAAATGCGGAGATTTGTTGGCCGCGATTATTTATCACAAAAAGCTAACACAGGCGTGACTTGAACTTTTGGGGTTGAATATTGAACGGGAGCCATGATTAATTACTCGCTACCGTCTGGGTCATCCTCGGACAGGCTCCGAGTATACCGTGACTGAATGTACCATGTAAACTTCTGGACTGGGAAGAAGAAGAAGAAAAAAGTGCCGATGAAGGGAAAAACCAAATTTGCGCACGTTTGCCTCCGAGGAGTGCGAGATCCTGATCATAATGACAGCAAAATGGCTAGTTACTGGTGTTGTGGGTACGTTCGGAAGCAAAAAATCCCAAAAAGGAAAGAGGGAAGGGAAAGGGAAAGAAAAGAGAGGGAGACTTGGCACCTTATGCTCCGAATTTCGGGTGGAGATCAGAATGTGTCTATATCAACATATAAGGATACAGGTCAACCCGGTGGGTTCCCGGGTAGGGTCCTCAAGGTATGGGTCCCGGGTTGAGCGGATTGTCAACCCGGAGATACCGCATACCCGACCTGCGGTATAACGGGTATAACGGGCCGGCCGAGTTCGTGCCTACTGACACCTACAAGGCCCTATGCTGATCCCCGCTGTCGATGGTCAATATCTGACCAGCGATCACATCAACAAACATGTATCTACCTTAGGCTAGCGTAAATTCCATTCAATTCTATTTGTTTCGGACAAATAAAGCCATGGGATGAGCCCATGGGCTAGGAATTGAGCACCCCTACTGGTATCTCGAACCTACACCAAACCAAAAAAGAGAGGGAAAAAAAAAACCTGGACCCGGGGAGGTTGGGAGGATTTGAACCTCTATCTCCCACATCAATATTCACTGCATGGCTTGTCGGTGATTTCCATTAATCAACTAGGGCATTATGCCCCTACAGGGAGCCTGGATATATCGGCCCATTCTTTACAAGAATCCGATGGAAGAATATTGCTACGAAGGGTCGGCCTGTTTAAACCATGGCAAACAGATTTCTGAAGAAGCACATCTTGAAGTATGTATACCCTACTTAATCGAAGCAGGTCGGATCTCGAATCCAAATCCAACGGGGGTCAGAAAAAAAAATGACATTGGGCATAGCTTTGCCCTCGGGAGGATTTGAACTTCCATCCCCCACATCAGTGCGCTAGAGTAGCATCGAAACCTATCTTGACAAACGACGCGGAGCAAGAGCGCCAAAAGGACGACGATGACGTCGCAGATGGCGCTGCGTGTCGTCCCGCCCAATGACGCGATCGCTATCGTGCCACGGGTGGCGCGAACGATCACCCGCTCCATCGCCACCAGCCCCAATAATACGGGCTTCACACGGGAGGGTTTTCCTGATGAAAGAATGTGAGCATTGAGCTGGAATAGTGCCTGAGAAGCGACAGCAAGCTAGCCGAAAGGGAAACAGTCAGCTGATTAGTCGGAGTTTAAAAAGCTTCAGGCAAACAGACATGCTTCAAGTTAGGGCCTGATTGGGTGCACCAGAACCTTTTTTGCAGAATCTGAGAAAATCTTTTATGCATATAAATTTCATCCTTAAACTATCCTAGAATCATTAATCCATCTATTTTATAAGCACCTGAGCACCAGGAGTAGCAGAAAAAATGTGCCAAATAACCAACAGGATTTTGGGATCTTGCAACAGATCCTAAGTTCAACACAACATGTGTTGAATATTTTGAATCCATTCACTTTGTCTGATTCATATTTTAAGAAGTACATATATTTCCCATTCTGGGTTGAATAATGTGAGAGAAGTACATGTTAATGAGACTC